AGAGGCGAACGTCGGAAAGCTGCTGCAGAAGCCCCATCTCGTACCCGTTCGTCTCGCGCGGCGCCCGCAAACCGCGATGCCTCGCCTGCTCCTAAGCGCGGACCCGGTCGACCATCGCGCAGACGCCAGGTAAAGAAGGAGCCAGTCGAGGATGAGGACGATGACGAAGAGGAGCTTGAAGTTCCGCCCACACCCACTTCGCCCGGAAAGGAAGAGAAGAAGACGCCTGCGAGGAGGATCAAGAAGGAAGCGCGCGATACACCACCTGCTAGGGCGCGCGGTCGGCAAGCTAAGACCGCTGACGAGAAGAAGTCTGTGTCTTCTCGGCGCCTGAACAACCGTGGAGCAGTGGCCGACTACATCGACGAGGCTGCCTTTGAGGACTTTGATTATCACCTGCCTGGTCTGGAGGAGTACACTGTTGAACGATGCAAAGAACTAGAGGACAATTACTGGAAGACGATCAACTATGGTTCCCCCATGTACGGAGCTGATATGCCTGGCTCGTTGTTTGACGACTCAACCACCTCTTGGAACGTTGCAAAGCTGCCCAACCTTCTGGACGTCCTTGGAACCAAAGTGCCCGGTGTTAACACAGCCTATCTCTATCTAGGTATGTGGAAAGCCACTTTCGCCTGGCATCTGGAAGATGTGGATCTCTACAGTATCAACTACATACACTTTGGTGCTCCCAAGCAGTGGTATAGCATATCCCAAGAGGATGCTCGACGCTTCGAAGCCGCCATGAAGACCATCTGGCCGAATGACGCGAAGCATTGCTCGCAATTCCTTCGTCACAAGACTTACCTGATCTCTCCCCAGCGCTTAGAGAGGGACTTCAATATCAAAGTCAACCGTCTGGTACATTACGAGGGTGAATTCGTCATTACGTACCCTTACGGTTACCATTCGGGTTACAATATCGGCTACAACTGCGCAGAGTCGGTCAACTTCGCAAACGAGTCATGGCTGAGCTATGGACGAATTGCGAAGAAGTGCATGTGCGAATCTGACAGCGTATGGGTCGACGTGAACGAAATCGAACGCAAACTCAGAGGCGAGCCAACACCAGAGTACTACGAAGAGACTGACGACGAAGAAGACGATGACGACGGTGCGGATCGTTTACCCAGCCCTCCAGCCAGTGTTGCTGGCAAGACCAAGGCAAAGCCAGGACGCAAGTCAGCCGGCAGCAAAAGAAAGCGTGGTAAAGAGGACCCCAAGGAGACCTCGAGACCCAAGAAGCTCAAGCGTATTCGCATCCGCATCAGGATTCCAGGTCGGGGTATGCCTTGCATTCTCTGTCCTAACGATGTCGAGTTTGATGACCTGCTGCCGACAGACACAGGCATGCAGGCTCACCGAATCTGCGCGGATTACACGCCTGAAACCTACATTGTGAACAAAGGCGATGTGGAAACTGTGTGCAATGTGGCCAATATTGGCAAGGATCGCCTGGAACTGAAGTGCAACTACTGCCGGTCCAAGCGCGGCGCTGTCTTCCAATGTTCGCAAAAGAAATGTACCAGGGCTTTCCATGCTACGTGTGCAGTAGCAGCTGGTGTCCAGGTCGACCTTGGTCCTATGCCCACTTTTGATGAAGAGGGTACGGAATACTTTTACGATGGCTATGACTTCCGATGCCGCTTCCACCGACCGAAAAAGCGGAACAACAAGACCGTCGATGTGGATGCACTGGAGAAGGACAAGTTTGTCTTAGCCTATGGCAAAACGCTGAAACCCAAGGATGTCATCCAGTTCCAGTATGTGGGTGGTGAGATGTACCAAATCTACGGTGCACAGGTTGTGGAGAACAGACCCGGCGAGCAGGCTGTACTGGTGGATGTATTACCTGACGGGTACGTCGTGCACATCGCTGATCGTTTTAGCTTGCTAACAGTGTACAGTGATCGCGTCGAAGTTGAATGGAAGTACATACTCAAGCTTCACCCCGACGAATCGCAGCGGCCGAAACCGTCTGCAAACGCCAAGCCACTTCCTGAACATCTCAAGGAGAGTGATGCATCTCTTGACATCGCAAACCGCACTGATGGTGTACCTGAGATGGGCGACCCTTTCCACGACCCTAACTCTGAACACAAGTGGGCTGAATGGCACACTGCTCCTGAAGTTACTCGGAAGCTTGCAAAGGTCGACCTGAGCAAGGAGGACCGCCTTTGGTACTACCTCGGGAAGCCTTCTACTGAGGCTAGACCCCAGTATACTGAGAATCCTGCGAAGCCAAGGAACAACCCTAAGAGCAACTTCCTCGACACCGTGAAGCCGCCCCCACCCCCAGTACCAGCTTTCCACCGGACTTCGTACCCTGCCTCATACCCGATTAAGCCTGCTCCAATCGCGGTGCCTCCTCGTACGCCGATGCAATATACAACGCAAGATGGCCGACCGTACGCCTACAAGCCGAAAGAGTCAGCGTCGGGTGCCTGGAGATCGCCGGTATACAACCCTGACACTCGCAAGAATCCCAATTCGCCGGTAGCACATCAGCCCAACGTTAGCTACGATCACCGCATGCCACAAGGCCAGTACGGGCCGCAGTCATACCAAGGCTACCACTCCCATCGACCGCTGCAATCTTCGCAACAGCAAGCTCAGTACCAACCATATATACCGCCACCAAACGGCTCTACTCCCTCATGGAAAGCACAGCCGACGACATCCGGGCCCTTGCTCAACGGAATCGACAAGTATGCGCAGCCAGCATCGCAAAGCAACGCCCTGCCACCATACCCGTACTCTAACAGCCCTCGTGGCCAGTTACCGCCCTCGCCATACTCGCCAATCGTGGGACAGAATGCTACTCAGCTGTATGGCCAGCCGAGCGGTCAGACCCAGGCGTCGCCGCATGGTCGTTCCTCGATCTCCAGCATGCCGAGCAACCCTACTGGGACTCCCAAACCTCCAATGTACGCCGTCACACCCTCCTCTAACATTATTTACGCTGCCCAATCCCCCACTGAGTACTTGAATTACGTCATGAACTTCCCCTACCTCCGAAACTGTTATCTACGAAGGACAAAAACTTACATATCACCCTATAGTCTGGACGGTGGGATCACACCTGAATGGATGCCAAAGCCGCCTATATCGAGGGGTAGCGGTACACCTACTTCCATTGCACCAAGGCCTATTGCACCACATGGAGCTGCGCCTTCTCCAGTGTACGGTGGACCGCCGCCAACGGGCCTCCCTGCACCAAGGCCATCAGCACAGTTCCAGTCTCCGGACGCTTTCCAGCGCGAGATGAACAGGACGACTTCAACCCCCGAAGCACCAAAGTGGGAGCAGATGCTTAAGCAGCTCGCTACGTCAACAGGCCCCACAGCCACGCCTTCCATGACTACGCGCTCGCCACAGGCACCGCAACCACGCTACCCGCCCACGGGCTCCCGGTCTAGCATGTCGAACGACCTACCCAGGAGTATGCAGGTGTCTCCGGCTCAAGCCTCGCCTCTACCGCCACCACGTGAGCCACAGCGACCGACACCTAGCCCCATCAGCGATGATGGCAAAAGTGGTCTTGTAGCTGTACCGAGAGAAGAGAAATCTGTTCTGCCTACTCTGCAGCCTGCATCGGCGTCGAACGTGCACGGGGCGGAGACGTGGAGGTACTCTTCTTAGGGGATGCGATGCGCATATATGGGGGCGTTTTGGTGAAACTAAATGTATTGTTATGACCATGTATGATTATCGCCAGGGTAGCTAAGGCGTTTTTTTATGGGAAAACGGCATGGTTTGCCACGGTTTCTTTTTGGTACAACACGATCCGGACGGAATATGATAATGTTTCTCGCTGAAGTTTTATTCATGAATGTTCAGCTTTGTGCAGTCTGAAGAATGCTATGCGTTTGCTTGCCTTGTAAGACGGGTGAACAAGTTATATAGAGAAGGATGATATGTGAAGTCGTCCATCTCGTATCTCGTCATGCTAAATGTGCTGTAGTAGGTATTTGCATAAAATCGGCCAACTAGATGGAATGCAAAGAACAATAACAATAAAGTGATGCAACCAGACCGAAGATCCAATAGGTTTGGACACTACTCTTGGCTCTTGGACTTGCAGCATTGGATGGAATCTAGCAACTAGTTCCTTTGGCTTCGTTGCGCATTGTGGCCAAACAAAAAAAACATCTGTTACTGCTTCTGTTTGTCGCTCCCAGTATGGAAAGTGCGATGGAAGCAAAAAAGAGCAAAAAGATGATTTCCGAATCCGGGAATCGAACCCGGCTCTTCTCGGTGAAAGCGAGATATCCTAGCCGATGGACTAATTCGGATGATCTGATTGATGGGAAGAAGTAAAATGTAGATATATATAATGCAAGACATTCGTATTGCAAAGGATAAGGGTGGTCGTAATGTTAAATGTGGGTACAAGCGAACATGCTGATAAGTGGGGCCAACGCACATGGTATCGCTTGCCGAGTTCAACAAACACTTGTTCACAACTATCACGATGTCACTGGGTTGAAGCTATTGAGCAGCATGATCCGCTGACAGTTCCAAATAGAAGGACCGCTGTTGGTGCAATGCCCCTACGTACCTATACATAGATCCGTACGCAGAGTCTCACATATTACTCAACTCGTGTTGCACATCTACACCTTGCACCTCATACAAGGGAGCAAACAGATAGGTACAGGAATACTAAGCTCTATTTCACAGCCTACATTATCTCTAAACTAGAAAACTTATAAATGTTAACAGTATCGTAGTCTTCTAGGACATTTAATGCGCATAATCTCGAGGCAGTCACATCACTCACAAGTAGAGGAAATAAGTTTCATGTGTGCAACACATATCATTCAGTCAAAGGAGCAATGGGCCAAAGCGACCCAATGCAAATAGATACAAGAAGTGAAGAACACCAAGTGTCAGAGCTTTTCCATCATCAACCGTCCTCCGGGTCTCTCCCGTCACATCTTCTATTGATCATGTCTCAATGACTGGTCTGCTCGAGAAAGATTCGTCGCGTCAAGAACTTAAACGCGGAAAGCGCGGGGGTGGCGGCGGACCTTCTGGCTGGACGAAGAGCCAGCCTTCTCCTCGAGCCAGGCAATGAAGGTGTCGAGGGTGAACTCCTTGTCGGCGATGCTGGCGCCGCCGGTGGAGGCAGGGGCAGCAGCGGAGGAAGCAGCAGGAGTGGCGACAACCTTAGCAGGGGCGGCGCTGGTAGCAGCGGGCGCAGATGATGAAGCGGCAGGAGTAGTGGCAGAGGGCTTAGCAGCAGGGGCAGAAGCGTTGCCAGAGCCGGAGCTGGCACCGTCGAACAGAGCGGGACCGGGCATCTCGTAGCTGGACATGTCACCACCGTAGACGTTGACCTTGATACCGGGGTCGGTGGCAGTGTAGAGCTTGTTGGCAGGAGTACCAGCGGGGGTAGCGGTACCGGATCCGGTGACCTTCAAGTTGATGCACTTGGGGTAGTTCTGGGCACCGTTCTCCTGTCCAGCGGAGTGGAGAGCGATGATCTCGTGACGGAGAACGTAGTCACCGGGGGCGATGCTGTCTGGGATGGTCACGGACCAGGTGTTGTTGTTGGCGATGAGCTTGTCAGAAGCCCACTTGCCGTCCGAGAAACCAGCGGCGTCGATCTTGAAGAACTCAAGGTCGGTAGACTTGGCGGCGGTGGCATCGTCGACCTTAGCGAGGTAGTCGATGACGGGGCCGACGTGGGACTCTGGCCAGGTGGTCCAGGAAATGTCGAGCTTGCCACCGGCAGCGACCTCAGCGACCTTGGCACCGGCAGTTGCGTCCTTGTGGCAAGCAATCTTGGTGGCATCGTCGTACATGGAGGGGTCGACGAAACCGTTGTCCTGGCACTCGGGGCAAGACCACTCAATGACCTCGGGAGGAGGGCTCTGGTACTGGAAAGAAGGGTCGTAGGCGGTGAAGTCCTTGCCGTCAACTTTGATGGCAGACAAGTGACCGTGGGCGCTGACGGAGGCAGCAAGGGAGCCAAGGATGGCAGCGGCTTGGATCTTGGAAATCATTTTGTTGGTGTGTTGGAAAGTCCGGTTTTGACGAAAAGGTTGGTGTTCAAAAGGTACCTCGAGATCGATCAACGAAGATAGTAAAGAATGTGAGACGCTTCAAGCGTTTGAAAAAGAATGAATGTGTAGTGAGCGAATGTCGACTGACTGAATGATTGTGGTGGTGAGGAACCGTAGATTGCTGGGCGCAAGGCATACTTATACTCAGATGCTACCATGTCGGAAATGGCGCATTGCTGTGTGCATGTGTCAGATGAAAGGAGTGGAGCTGACAGAAAAGGTACTGTTGCCGTCCCTACACCGTGTACAATGCTTCAGGGCTGTGGAGCTGGGGTACTCGATGTTCAAAATGTGGACTTGTCACTTGTCATGGCATTGCTTGTTTCACGGAATGGCGTTTGATCCTGGCGGTAAACAGTTCTCGGCGTGGTGTTCCTGATCGACGCAGGCATCTTTCAGAGTTGAAACATGAAGGAGCTGAAGATTGAGTAGGCGCTGTATGCAAACACAACGTCATAGCCGTAATATTCGGCAGTGCAGTCTCAAATTCAGATCTCCAGTGTGTACACTGTATAATTACGATGGATATTCTTTCAGTAATTGAGAGTTGAGATGTTCGGTGGAGTGAGATGAGACAAGCTGCTGAGGTGCGACTCGTCCCGCCCGCAGCACCAGAACCGTCTCGACTCGCTTAGACTCAGTGCGTGACGAACGACGTCTACGCGTCACCAAATCTCCTGTAGTTAAGCAGCATGAACGCAAACACGGAAAAACGGCAAGGCGCTCACCTCTACTCCTCACATACATTAACTTGTATCAAACACCTCCGTAGCACCGATGGTAGCCTCCACGCTTTATCTCCGTGTGGTTCGCTTCCGACTCTCATCGTTTCACGCTTCCTGTTTTGTGGGTCAACGACAGCGCGCGTCTCCACCGCGGGCATGACACTTCCAGGCGCTTGGTAACGACGTCAATTCGTACGGAATACGGTGTACAGTATGTTTGCTTTCCAGTTGAGAGCCAGATCGTATGGTTCGACGAATCCACGGAACATTTTGTCACACCTAGGCACTCTCACACGCATCCAAACACAATAACTTTCAGGACGAGTAAGGGCACGATCAATGACTGGCTTCCAGTACCTTCCTTCGTGCGAGGTCAATGCCGCCCAGGAGAACCCACCGATGTTTTGTGTTGTCCAAGTGGGTCTCTTGTCTCTATGCGTTCCAATGTCGCTTCCATGTCACACGGACCTTCATTTCCGAGCCAAGAAACTTTAGCAGGCGGCAACAGAAGAAACAAGCAACGGCTAAATTGGCCAAGGCTCGCTTCCTACCGTCGACCCGTTGTTCATCTGGTAGGTTGTGAGGAGTATGCCTGGTTCATACACTTTCCCCATCCTCCGACGTCTCATGGCAATCGACTTTGAGATGATATCTTCATAGTATTTGCTTCTGAGTTTTCGACTTCCCCTAGATATCACTGCAGCGACAACGCCAGCAAGATGCCCCGAAATATCAAGAACGATTGCTACTCCTTCACCGGCCGCATTCGTTGCGAAATATGGATCTTGTCCCACTCGACAGGTTCTGCAGCAAGGCTCGGTTGGCAGAAACCGGCAAGGTAGCTGCCGCCGGCTGTAGGACTGTTAGTGGGTAACATTATGGAGCCACGGCGACGAGAACAGGTCATTTCACGAAGATAAAAGCGACACCTCCCGTAACGTGTAGGCCAATATGGCTCCAGATTTAACGACCGATACTCGTATTAGGAGCACAGAATACATGTCCCTTGGTATGCGGCCATTCGAGCACAATCACGTCCAATAGCACCTACTGTATCGGCACCTACATAGGCATAACCTGCCAGAACGCCTACCTAGCGCGGAACGACTACAGAAGGCTTGATATCTGCTCCAGCATATCTGTTTACCATACGAGACCGCGGAGTGCGTAGGCATTCTTGAGTTCTACAAGACCACGATGACGATCCGGAACCTTCTTCACAGACTGGCGCAGTTTCCGACCCGCAGCTCATAAATCCACTCTAGGGCTACGCTCAATACCGTTCTTAACGTTACGATATGAAGTTCTACCACAGAACCTGCATGATACACGAATTCATTGCACTGGGCCGATAATTCTGTGTCCGCACTTGAAGTGTATAACTGGTGATGGTCCTGAATTTTGATAGCGTTGTGGAGTTACATAATACGCTGAGTGGCTGTTGCATCTAAGCCAATATTCATGCCCATAGTTTCTCTACCACGAATCATTTGGCCACCTGAAACTGATGGTAAGCTTATGTAAGTAATCAAAAATTACATCTCCATAGCACGCGCAGTAGAACCATACAATCCATGTTGCGATGTACATACTCTCGTCTCTCTGGGTTGAGTTCTATACGTCACCTATCTATGGTACCACTATGAGAAGCCTATACCCCCGATATGCATCAGGAGCTTTGCACGCAGTAAAACCTGCATGTGTGTGTAGCATAGCAAATTATGAGCAAGCTTTATAATGCAACTATGGTATGACACAATATACCTTGTTGTGAATACTCGTGACCAACTATGTGACTTTCTAGACAACGGGGCGTAAGATGACTGCTTTTGTATGCAACTAGTAGATGCGCCAGACCGAGACCAGTCTGGACTATACGGCACGGTACCCATCACATGCGCAACCCTCTTATCATCAACGCCATGCGCGATTTCTCATCTTTACACAATCTTTGCTTGTTCTTCTACCTTAGCACAAGACTTCATCTGATGCGATGGCTATGGTAGAGGCTATTTCAGATCCAGTGGCGGCAAAGAAGCCGAGTAAGGACTATCCGTGGTGGGTAGAGAACATCGATCACAAAATAACGCCTGAGGTCAGTTGTAAGACGATACAAGAGATCTATAACTTGTGTAAACGATCCACTAACCTCACTGCAGGTGCGGCAACACCTAGAAACATACAGCGGTATTCAATCCGAAGATGTTTATCAACATGTTTATACCATAGTAAGCCGAAAGTCTCTCGTTGACTGCGCAACTACAATCTCACATCCTATAGCGCGAAAAGGCATGGTCCATCCGTCCATATCCATGTACTGGAATAGGCATGTTCCTATCGCCTGCCGTCTCCCATCATCCCGCTTATAAAGCACTGCTCCCGCGCCTCAAAGCTAGCGGCAAGTTTTTGGACATTGGATGCTACATAGGCCAGGACCTCCGCAGATTAGCCCTTGATGGCGTTCCCGAGCAAAACTTGATCGGCACCGATATAGTCGACCATTGGAAACTTGGATTCGAGTTTTTCAATGACAAAGATCGCTTCCATGCGCAATACATTGAATCCGACCTCTTGCATCCCAATGAAGAAATGGAGCGACTATTTGGCCAAATAGATGTCGTCTCCATCATACATGTCCTACATCAGTGGGACTGGAACACGCAAATTCTAGCATGCAAGGAAGTGGCCAAGTTTACTAAGACGGGTAGTGTGATCATCGGATATCAAGGTGGAACGAACGATATCACAAAGCGAACAAAATGGAACGTAGAGAACGGGCAAAAAGAATTTACGCTGCATGACCCGAAGACGTTCATGGACATGTGGAGGATTGTGGGTGAGGAGATGGAGATGGAGTGGAGTACGGAAGCGAAGATTGTGCCTTGGGATGAGCTGGCCACCCGCACTGAGGATGTGGCATATCTTGGAGAGGACTTTGCGTTGTTGAGATTTTTGGTAAAGAGGGTTCGATGATAGCTACACTGTGTCGTTGACCAATATGTACGCATGATACGGAATCTCTCATCGAACGGAAACCATTGGACGGGCGAGTTTGTTGATGAAATTGTGTGAATAGACCACGAAGTGGGGATAGTGTGAAGATTTACAGCTTCGGAGCGACAACATCTCATATATTATGTCACCCAGTAGCGTTCTCTGCGTGAAGTAATGTCGTGCGACACGAATTGTTGCTGTCTCTAGTTGCACAAGGTGCACCGTTGACTTTCCACCGTAGCTTCGATAATATCATTGAAAGAAAGTACTCAGTCTTGCGCAAGATTCCGGATTGATACCAAGCCCAGCCACCTCGCTGTAAACATGACTTTCCGCTCGTCAGTCCGTGCCAGATGTATGGATAAAGATCTCCCTGTGCATGTGTAGCAGACCTGATTCAATCTGCTCAACCAACCTCTCGCCTTGACGATCATGCTCGACTACTCCAAGTGCGATTCCACTGTTGTCCGACACGGGAGTACTGATCACGGGAGGCCCATCAAGCCGATAATACAACTGTCTCCGACATATTGGACAAACATCTGTGCCAGCGATGGCTGACCTCAGCCACCTGCGCAAGCACGAGCCTCCGAAGACGTGGGCACAAGCGTTCGGTCCAGTGAAACGGGTTGGTGTATGCTTATCATGATCGAATGCTTCGAAACAGATGCAGCACTGAGTGAGATCTTCGAGATAGGTTGCGATAAACTGCTCTGTAGTGTTGAAGGGGATTTCATCTTTTCTGACTGTAGTTTGTCGTTGAAACGGGTTGCGTGCTGGGCGTTGTTCCAAAGATCGATAGACGTGTCGAGTGGGGAGGCAGGCTTCCACAAGCCTTTTGAGGATTCGTACCATTGCCAATATGTCGTGTAGGTCGAGACTGTGTTCAGACTGAGGGAGAAGAAGGGGATGTGAGTCAAGTTGATGAAATAACTGAGAGAAAAGCTGCGGTAATTTTACCTTGGGTGTGAGGTGTCGCTACCAGAAATCCAAGATCTCGAAAAGCAGCTCTTCGAATCATAAACTCGACTTCACAGACCTTCTTTCATTACGTTGGAGACGTGCTTATACTACGGTTGTCACCCACTGCATCTAGTGGTGCTGTGATGATCTACTGACGACAGACTGGCCGCACAACTCCGCCAATCCGCAATCACATGGAGCTGAATAAAGGATCGGCAATCTTGTTCTTATCGCTCTAGTTGGTTGTCTGGTCCCAGTCGTTGAGAACCATGCCGCTTCCCGAGCTTTCAACATAACTATGGTATGTACAAGCTGTTCTTGGAATATTTCATATCCAAGGGCATCGTTCGAGTACGTTGAAATTATGTAGATTGTGAGTGGCTCGTCGTTGCTATGCACTGTATCGTGCCGATGGGTGGCAGCCAAGGTATGGTATCTGCACCTCCTTGGGCTGAACCAACAGTGCAAAGCATTGTTCCTTTCGTTTTGGTTAGGCACCTAGCGATAATCATCGAGAATGAAGCTGGTATTCTGCCGTTGGGCAAGACCACACAGCGTATCTGCATGTGAAAGTCTCGTAAACGAAAACGAGATTTTGCCGATGCATGACAAAAGTGCCGCGTTACGGGTGGAAATGATGTTGATGATTGGTACCTGAGCAACGAGTGTCAATCGCGCTGGCAAAAAACGGCCAGCCGCTATACTAGCCCCCTCGGCCAAAGTCAAGTTGGAAGTTGGAACCGCAGAACATCACCAACCGCAACCAACCCCCGACCTCGCGATACCACAAATCCCGCGTATTCCAGCTCTTTGCGCAATCACAATTAAGTTTAACCAATGAAAAAAACGAGGGCCAAGGGCCCAACCGCCAACGCCTCAAACTTTGAAACTCCGGAACAATCGGAAATTGCCTCCTTGGGTATAATCTCATGCACGTGTTGGCTTGACGTGCGTTTCTCAGTGCCGCAATCCTGCCGCTCGCCCTTTTGCGTATCACCTCGCTTTACGAATCGCACCCCCCACACTCTGACCAACTCGATCGTCTCTTTTGCGCCCGCGCGACGATAAAGACTGTGTGTGTAAAACGCTAATGGAATGAAGGGAAATGAATGAATGGATGAGACGAGGATGATCTGCGATATGTCAGTCGATGTCTCGGTCGTGCCTCGGAAGCAATCGGCTAGCGCTCAGACATGAGGATGAGTGATGCGTTTTGTAAGGGAGGGGGCCCTGTGGCTGTGCTGACGCTCCGTGCGAGCCTGAGTGAGCAAGTACGCACCTCTGAGTTCCAGCTCGTTCAGGAAACAAGGCCAGTTTCAATGCTCCGCATGTATCGCGCCTGTGCCCTCACACACACTGCACTTGTTGCTGCCGGATCGTTTGCATGCTGGACAGCCCTTGCCATTGCAAGCGTCGCACTTTGTGGTTCCGTTGCCTTTGCACGTTGGGCAGTCCTTCATGTTTGCGTTTGCGTAGTTGACCGGATCGAGCGGGCGGAAGTGAATAGCCGGGGCAGATGCGGCGCAGTAGGCAGAAGCAGAATGAACAAAAGGTAGCAAGAAGGTGGATATGGAGCCGAGTTGAGTCTGGAGAAGAGCAAGATATATGTCGAATCGAAGACGCTTCTGAGGTGATCGCAATGGATGGAAGGGGCAGTCGCGGTGAAATAGTCCGTTGATCTTGATTTAGCAAGGCAGTACCACGGTCATGAAGATGAGCAACACAGTTGAAGTTTCGAAACACAATAGTCCACGGGCCTGATGAGCGTCAGGGTCTCTTTATATAATTTCCCCATTTTGGGCCCCGCGCATACCCGTAACCCAGCTGGCTCATCATCGCAATCTCACCGCGGCCGCGAATAGTGAAGCAAGCTCGCAAGCTCAGCCCCCGTCTGCATCCAGCAAACAGTCCGAGCTTCTTCACGATAGGTTTTCCGGGTTTAGTAGTAGGAGTAGCATCACGAGAACACGAGAACGTCGCTTGTGAGGTACTACCAAGGGTCCACTAGCACTATCTTGCCATGCATCTAAGAAAAAAAATGATGTCAAGGTGCATTTTTCGGAAGGCTATGGAATACCTTTTGACAAAGCCCCTGCCTTTTTCTCATGCACGGAATGCACCTCCCCTTCCAAACAAGTCCTGCCGCATAAGTCCTCTTGGCTTCGCTACACTCTCCTATCGTATGCGTATAGACCATGATCTGATTGTACCCACTGCCGCCACAACCGGTCAATATCTCCGTGGTAAATGCGGCATTAGGCTTGTGCCGCAACCGAGCCAGCAGTAAGAGAGCTCCATGCATATCCTGATTGGATTTGCGACGTAGGAGAGGACGTCAGACTGCAGTATCCCAGCACTCTGGATCAATCAGACAGTGGCCATGCTTCTAGCGCGTTCCTCTCAAGACTGCGCGCATCGCCAGGTGTCACTGCGGACCAGCAACGTCATTAAACGCCCCGATAGCCTTTGCAGTTACAGGGCGCGGTGACAAGTCGAAAGGAGAGGTTACATTAGGCACGGAGTTGGGAAAGCAGTGCGAGCACGTTGTCGAAGCATTGGTGAGGGGCAAGTCTTGATGATGGTCTGAATGGGAGATGCCTGATGCAGAAGGCACACACGTGGCAGGCTGCAGGAGCGGTAGGACGAACCGACGTGGTGGGTAAGGCTGAATTTTGGTTGGTGGAGCCGATTGATACATCAGCAAGGTACAGGGGGTGACAATATTCAGCTCCATGTAACCACATAACCCCACTTTCCAGGCACAACGCTGGATGTCTGTAGACTTGTGAGGTTGGGAAAAGCCTACACTAGGAAGTCCCCGTTTGCTAGCAAGCAAAAGTAAGCACCACCAAGGTAAGCACGATGATATTATCCTATGGCTATGCGCCCATGGGCAATTGAGCCGTAGTATGTACATGTCTCAAACTATCTTTCAAGACAAGAAAAACGGGTCTCTTTGATGGAAGATGCCAGTATCCTGACTCCAATCTTACCTTTACGTGAGACCAAGGTATCTTCTACAGCTGTGTTACCAACTACCTGGACCATCCACAAAGTGTAGAATTGTAATGCCAACATATCTGCCTAGCAAGGAACTTGCATGTCCAAGGAATTCTCCGATACAGAGCACCGCGTCGTTCGAGATTAGATGCTGCTTCTTAGCGCTGCCCTACTTGGGTGGCGTTGTCGAAACGAGCCGCCTAGTCCACAGATCATGTTACTGTGGCTGCGGACCGAAGCCGGACGTTTGACTAGGAGACGGCTCGTGAGGTTGACACAGAACATGTTGCTAGTCTAGTGCCATCTTCACGAAATGGCCTGATTTGCAAAAGCTTAAGTATTGCAAGTCCTCACTCTCGGCTTCAACAGCCCAACATCAGAAAAAAAAAAGGCTGACGAAAAACCGTTGGTGAATGAAACAGCCTAGCACCAAAGGTTGGCTAATATGCAGTTCCGCCTAGCCTTACAACAAGTCCGTCCAATTGGTATGCCCTACATCAGCGACCTTGGCATCCGCCTACCGAGACCATGGTGGACACGCGGCCCAGAACTTACCATGGTCTCACATCGGGTCTGGAACCGAGTTGGGAACTGTGCGGCCTGGCTCTACAGCCAATTCATCAATTGGCATGCCTTACATCAAAAACATTGGTGTCTAAGAGTCAGGCCACAACGGACACGCGGCCCAAGGCTGGCAGTGATCTCGCAACGGTCTAGAGCTGAACGGAAAGACTCGTCATCACCGACTTGGAACACGCGGCCCGAGGCTCGCTATGGTATGGAATGAAGTGAAAAGAAATCCATTGATACAGCCGTGATACCATAAGAAAATAGGTCCTATCAACTCCAATGTGAGGACCTGTGTTTTGGATCCTCTTCTCTCGGTCTCGGTCTCGCTTTCTCTTTCCTTTTCCCAGGCTATCTCCAAATGCGATCTTACAACTTCGCCTTGACGACAGCCCTTTCCAGACCCGGTCCATCCCAGATGTCGCGCTCAACCGCACGTGTGTTGATGC